AAAAAGTAACCAAGTTTAAACCAGAACATGAAGATTTAGTTAAGTTTAAACCGAAAAATTATAACTAAACCACACATTAAACACAAAAATTGATATCAAACTAAGATTAAACGAAAAGATTAAGTTTAAACTAAAACATTAGTTATTAAAAAAAATATTGCGTGTTAATTTTTTTTTCTGAGTTTGATTTTATGCAGTTGATCGACGGGAAGAAATAAAATATGATTTTCGTATGCCGACAACAAAATATAGCGTAATCGTTTTTAGGGCGGGTAAAGCATAATAACTTATTAGTTGCTAATGGGTGGAAGCAAGCGATTGGGATTGGTCAATAATGAAGATTTTGTAGAACTAGAAGAGGATTCTACAACTGAAATAATAAACAAATTTAAATAAAGAAAAATGCATATGTACGAAAGAAAAACAGTTTATATAGGATCAATCAAAGAGCGGAACATTTATTTTAAAAAATTAGATGAAAAACTTGTGATTCGGGTGGAAAATATAGATCGTTAGAAGATTTTCGCAATTGTACTTTGTACAACTTATAACAATATCTTTAAAGGAAATTATACAGTGGGCCGTACTCGAATTACAGAATAACACTGGCAGACCAGTTAATTAATTAATTGAACGTTAAGCGCGGAGAGAACACCAAGGATTCGTTCGAGTTTAAATTAAATCATATTTAATCATCTCGATCTATATATACATTGTTGTATAAATAATTGTACAATTAACGAAAATAATATTAAAATTGTATTTATACAAAATAATGTATGTCTACGGAAATTTACAGAACGTATAGTTAATAGAATACCTCTAACTTCTAAAATTTCCATATCTGGTCTCATCTTTCGTCTATTTAACTCCGTTCTCGAGATTAAACAAAGACAGCCGGATAGACGGCGACAGTGGGAATTTGGGTACAATATTTTTTTCAAATTGCAGCCCAATGACACAACAGACATTTCGTCAGCCTGCAAATATGATAAGTTAAACGGGAGCAAATAAGAAAGCAACGCGAGTGACATCGGTGTTTGCGGATACAGAAAATTTTGTTCAAATAAAAACAGTTGTGCATTAAAAAATTAGTTTGAAAACTAATTTTTAAAGATCAATAGAAATTTCAATGCCGATACCCGTTATTGGATGGCGCGATAACGACGAAATGTAATTTCGGAAGAAAATCTAAGACGATTTACGGAAGAATAATATACTTTAAACAAATTCGTACGAGGAAGCCGTTTTAGACAGACATAAATTTCGGGGCGACGCGATAATAAAACTTTGACAATTTGTTGCGAGCGGTCGATTATTGTTCTTGCGAACGGTTGGATTTTTGTTTCGTGCGATTTAAAGTCATTGATTTCGAGCGTTTTTTTACTTTTTCGTTATTTGCAGTGATTTTATCGGTAAGTTGAGACTACGAACTTTATTAATTTAGGTATTTTTGAATATTGTTAAGCTCCGAATATCACAGTGAGTGACAATGATTTTCCGACAAAGCTCCATTTAGATAACAAGTGATGTGTTTTGTAACAGAGACGACCAACGGTGTCTTTCCACTTATTTTAGAAGACACTTTTTACTCTGTTTAATGTTAATTTTCGTTTAGTTTTAGTAAATTCAATGGTAATTGTAAAAGCAAAATAAGAATTAATAAATACTAGAAATTGATATTCCCCGCTATGGTTTATATAAACATTATATCCCGTATGAAATTCACACCTCTATACTCTATACCAGTGTTTTTCAACCTTCTCGAATACGCGACCCCTTTACAAATTAAAAAATTCTGGCGACCCCCAGAGCCATTTTAAAACTATGTCAGTGATTTTAAAAACTACGTATTTAAGTTTCTTTCTGTTCAGGCCTAAATAGCGATTAAAAAACCAATTGTACTGTAAAATAAACAGGCACGGCCTTCTCACTAAAATTTTAGTTTTTTTTATTGTAGTGTAGGACCTACAAACACGTGTAGGTTCTCCTACACTACTATTACAAACACTTCTTTTACTTGCGACCCCCTTAGGGGGTCGCGACCCACAGGTTGAAAAACACTGCTCTACACTAATTAATGAAGATTTCTTTATTTTCACAGATATTTTGTGTTCTGGCAATCTGAAATTTTAATTATGATTAAAACGATCATTTTCTGTAATCTTCTATCATAAATCTTTATTGAATTTTAAAATGAATTTTACATAAAAAATGTATATACAGTCGACCTCCCCCCTATAACACGGTAGATACGTTCCAGTTTTTATGAATCCATTTTCTACGAGTCCTTGAATACACGAGCCAATCACAGCCCGGCCCGTATGCAGTTTACGGACTACGGCTGTTTGAAAGGTTTTCTTCCATAAAATTAATCGATTCTAGACTAATTTGACTCAACATTTCCAAAACACGTATAATTTTGGGGGAATAATCCATATAAACTATGCTATAAACAAAAAATTGTAGGATTACTTACCAAGTGAGCACCGTTCGACGACGCCATTGCTTAAGCTTGTTTTCGTGGTGGAGCTTGTCATCGAATGGCGCTCGCGTGCTTCCTAATAAATTATTTTTTTGCGAAAAATTCGCTGAACTTTGGAGACATCATTAATATAAATATAATTTTTATGTACTGTACGTTAAATAATAAATAGTTCTTCGACGGATTCTTCGACAACATACGAGATTCGTTTTTTTGCACTTTGGTTAAAGTGCATAGATCAACGACAGTAGCCGGACATTAATCACTGTTCTCGTGTTTAATAAAAGAGTGTTACGTCGTTGTTTAAAGTGAACGTACAGTACTGTCTATAGGATAAGTTGCTCTAAGTACTGTTTGTGTTATTATTAACAACACTTCTATGTAATATTATAAATAGTAAACAATCTAAAAATCCCACGTACAATTCTTTTATTTTCACATCGTCACAATGTCGGGATGTCAAATATCATTTATTTAATTTAAAATATATGCTCTCCGCCCCAAATCAGTAGTGGCTTGCTCCTGTACGTCATACTTTACCTTTAACAATAGAGTCGTGCCAGTCATCTATCTAACTGCTTTAAGGGGAAAATGTTTCAATTGAAATAACGTGACTTCCGATTTGCATCGGAAGTTCGTACGTAGTCGGAGTCTCGTACGTACGTAGTCGTACGTAGTCGGAGTACGTAGTACGTAGTCGGGGTTTGCAGACGACTGAAACCCTAAAATTTACAAAGAAGTTTTTCGGCCACAATCGTGATTTTTACTGGGTAAAACCCATAAGTGATTCAGTGAGTTCGCCTACACCGCTTAACGAACAGAACAATGGCAGTTATTTTTGTTAACGTCAGGCATTTCTGGTGCGTTCATTTGGCCTTTCATTTCTATTTTCTATGTCTCTCTAAATACGAATAACTTATACAAAGAGCCGAACAACAGTAATGAGTAGCCGAGGTATACCAAGTATTCTCACCAAAGCGGAAATTGCTTAAAGCACCCTCCAGCAGCTTACCATTTGAAGTTTATTCTTTTTCCGGTTGTAAGGGTCATGATAAAATCGAAATTTTTATTCATTTTCATACGAGAATATTAGGTTTTTTGAGTACATATTGACATTAATGTTAACGTCAATATGTAAATGCAAGGAAAGGTCAACGCAAATCACTCAATTCGACCAAACTTTTAATACTAAATTTCGTGACAACGCAACAATAAAACTCTGTAATAACAAATTGTTAGAGTTTTATTGTTGCGAACGGTTGGATTTTCAGTTCGTGCGATCAAAATTTCTCTCGTTTCGAGTATTTTTCTCGGTTTTATTTCGTTTGTGTCGATTTTATCTGTAAGAATAGAAGTGTCTAATTTTACGTGTTTTTAACATTGTTAAGCCGAATATTAATGATTTTCCGACGAACCTCTATTTCCATAACAATTGATCGGTCTTGACAGAGACGACGAACGGGGAACTCTTCGTTAAGCCAAAATCCAATGGAATTGTTAAAACAAAACATAAATTAATAAATACACATTACCCTGTTATAGTTTATATACGCATCATATCCCATATCAAATTTGCATCGTTATAGTCTGAACTGGACTTGAATTTTCATCCTGGATTGGGTTTATTAATTCTCAATTTACGGACAGACACTTGGGCAATATCAGAAGATTGGTTGGCAAAGTGACAACGAAACTATAAAGCAGTGTTTTTACTAGCTTAAAGACTCTGTTAATCGTCCATTAATGAGTAAATGTAAATATCTCGTTCGAAAGGTAATTGTTTTCTTAGGTAGCGTGCAAAATTTCAGATTTTTCTATAAAGGGGTTGCCGAAATATAAGCAGTTGAAAAGTGCAAAGATGGCCATAAAAACTGTATCTTTTCTTTTTCTTATTCGTTTGGCGGTGCAAATGCTCCTAGAGAAAGAACACCACTGGGTCTACAGAGCTCAAATTTTAAACTTAAGCCTTTCTCGTTATCAGCGAGGTACTGACCATGACACGTCCAGAAATGGAAAAAAATTCCAGTTTTTTTTTTTAATATATAGCCTATATATGAATGTGTGAGGGCACGATTTTGTTCAATTTCTTCGATGCTAAATATCTCCCGTGTTTTTTGTCGAAAATTTCTGAAATTTTCAGGGAGGTTTGTGTATTAGGGGAGTCGAATAAGGTCGGGAATTAGGACAAAACTCCAACTGCACTTTATTATTCTTTACCGGAAAATACAATTTGTATAAATGGATTTGGTCACAACACGTAATAACGGGGAGCTGGACCGGCTCCATCCTCCGCCTTTTCGCCAGACTGCCGAAATTGCAACGGTACGGATTCCGGCGTCGTTCGGAAAAAGCGGAAGACGGCCGGAAGACTTAGACGAAGACTCACGCGTACAAATATAAGAAGGGAACGTTTAATAAACATCTTTAAAAATACGGTATTTGTAGACCGGATAACGATAAACCACACGGTGGTTGGCAGTGTTACGTCTTCTATCGAAAAACACCGCGATGCCGACGTGGTGGCCCGCCTCCCCGTAAATAACGTTATACGTATTCTGTCGCGGCCACCTACGTTTTCCGTCCGGTACGTTTACATATACCGTATATATATATATATATATACGCACACACGCACTTTAAAACGTTAATTACGTAGTACCTTATACGTACGGTATATGTAATTATTTATATGTACATATATATATATATAGAGATTTACGCGGATATTTATATATACCGTATATATCCGTAAACTACATTTGGAAGTACCGTCTATACACGCATCTAGTATATAGGCTAAGTACGGTGTATACACGTGTATGTATAAATATATATACCGGTAAGGCTGGCGGCCGCTAAAACACCGTACAAATAGGTGGAAGGAACGGGACTTAAACATAGATTTCTTATTCCGACGGAACTTTTCCTTCGACGTCACTTCCGCCCGACCCGGACGCGCGGCCCAGTACCGGTAGTTTACGCGTGGCCGGACGGCGGAATCCGACAAGAACGGGGAAAGAAAACGGCGGGCGGCCCGCCCCTCTTGGCCTGGCACCGCGGAGCCCGCCCGGGGTGACGGGGGAGGAGCGGGAAAGAGTACAAAGGGGCTAGAAACGGGCGGGCGGCGGGGTCCGGGGTCGAGAGACGTCGATCACGTGGGTCCGATCCGGCCGGAGTAGATATTTACAGATGGCATAGTAGTGGCACAGAGCTCCCACGTTGACGAACAGGTGCCAGATGGCGTGGGCGCAGGGTATTCGACCGTCCGACTTGAAGAAGACCACTCCGACGATGTACAGGAGTCCACCGGCGGTAAGTTCCAACACCCCCGACCTCTCGCACTGAAAAATCAAAACACGGATGCCATCTTAGATCTTTGTAACGGGTGCGCCTCCTCGGCCTCTATTTCTTTTTCGCTTCTTCCTCCCCGGAGGCCACAAACCGGAAATCCGTTTACGTATTCGCCTCGGCCACTCGCAGCGTGAAAAACCAGACAATTTGGCCGGCGGTCGAGAGAAGCTCGGCGCTGGCAAGCACCCGGGTCATTTGGAATTACTAACTGGCTGGTAGTAGTAATAGGGGGGAAGTCACTTACGGGAAACGTAAACCGGACACCTATAAGCAGAGTCGATAGATATACTGGTCCTTGCTCTATGCTCTCAAGTACAGTTAATGCCTCAGGTTGCCGATAGTTGGCAGGAGAGTCGCTGTTAGGCGAGAAGTTTGTTTATCTATAGTACTATAATAGAGGTAACAGAGACTTATCATACTGCTACTGGTGACATAAAAATGACACTTCGATCATAAGAATGCAATCTTCTGTTATTTTAATGTTATCGTAGCATTGTGATAAGTCTCTGTTATCTCTACTATACTATTTGAGATATTAGTTTTCAAGACAAGAAGCTCTTTTATAATGTTTAAAACTGTTATATTGCTACGTATTGTGAATGAAAGTTTTGTACATAATATTCTTGTATAATATCTGTTTAATAAATAAGTAAAATATGCATTTTACTGTTTTGTTTTATTACATATGTGTGACTTTTACATATGTATAATTAGAAAAACCATAGCTTATCCTTTGATACATTTAAATAGCCATAGAAATTTAATCCAGATAAAGACAAACTATTTTTTAAATAATTTATTAACTTCAACACTACATAAAGTGTGCTATACAATTTTCCTTGATTTAGTATAGTGAAAAATAGTATTTGGGATGAAATAGTTTTGTATTTTTGACTTGAGAAATTACACTCATATTGGCTCTACATATTTTGGTAATTTATATAATATTCTGCACTATTAAAAGTAGAATGTGAATGAAGATTTATTGGTGGCCAGTTATATATGTCCTTTATTTATATAGGTTTAAAACATCAATAACATATCTTTCTTTTAGACTCAATGTCATCACTAATCACTGTCAATATCTGACAATACTGTTTGAACTATTGCCATCCTACATTCACCTATTTTATTTCTCAACTTCTAACTCATTATCCTCTATTATGTGCCTGTAAATGTCTTGAATATGTTGTCTAAATAGTTGGAATTTCCTGTTTTTCCTCTAACAGTCTGTATTTGAAATCCGAGAACTAAATTTACTGACTTTTATTCCTCCTCTTTAACTTTTTTTGGGCTCAACTTTAATCTCTATCTCGTTAAATTAATAAACACAATATAAATTGTGAATAACATACCAGTCGAACCCCCCCCATAACACTGTTGATTTTTCCGTTTTATACGAATTCCATGTTGTACGAGTCACTTAGATTTTATAAATACGTGAGCTGTTCACAGCCCGGCACACGTATTTGTAAAATCTAAGTGACTCATACAACATGGAATTCGTATAAAACGGAAAAATCAACAATGTTATAGGGGGTATATCACAGTTTGTTTCTCATTGCAAAATACAAATAATTCACCTAATATTAATAAATAAATAAATAAAAATATGGGCTTAACCTTGATAAACTCCAAAGCCACCCTACATCCTAAATTTCCTTTTCTTTTTGTAACACTTTAAATCTATCATGTGTTAACATATGGTTTAACATTTCTTTACATTTCCATAATTAAATGTATATAATTCTCATCATTCCTTTTTCTTCCCGATTCAGAGAGTTATAGGGAATCCCGATGACATCCGATATTAATATTATAAGTTATATACAGGCTTAACTATAAATTTTTTGACTACATTTTCTTACCCTTAACGAAAACTCCCAAAAATATTTAAAATCAGTATAGTAACATTAGAGCTATTGGCAATGCAAAGACCAGTATATCTATCCACTCTGCTAAAAAGTATCTTCTATCCATACCTATTAATTTCTTCTATAGCCCAAGAAAGAAGAAACTATTTGCAGTATTAGAAACTATACGCAGACCTAACTCTCCAATACAGTTACGTTCATTCACCTCTTTCGTTACTCCCGAATTCCGTAATAACCGGGTATCGAGTCAATACCAAAAACTTTGAAATTTAAATTAAATTTTAAAAAATAATACTTCCGAAAGTGTCCCCCGTTATTTTTTTGTTGCCAGAAAGTCTTCTTGAGGATTTTTACGGCCGTCTCTTAATTCGGATTTTACCATTGTTATCGTGTCATTTCCGGCCGGGAGGCTTTTCCTGACTCTTTCCTTCCCGACTGACTGGCTAAAATGGCTCCGTCGGGGGATTTGGCGGAGCCACCGGACGACTAGAGGAAGAAGAAGGAAGAATACTCACCATAGAGAAGACGGCCAGACCGGGAACGATGCCGATGACAGCGTAGAAGCACGTTTCTAACGTCTTGTACCTGCAAACAGAAGTATTAGCCTTGCGCCGAATTCTGGGGACGGGCGCTCCGTCCTTCCTCCCCGCCAAGGGGGAATAGACGGGCGTTTTTACCCCTCCATTTAGTTAGAAAAAAAAAGTTACCTTTCGTGGAAGAAGTGTTGATAGGCGATTCCCAGGAGAGCCAAGAGCCAGACCAACCAGCGCAGATGGCGAGCCGGCGAATCGGGACCCATCTCTTTCAGAGTCAACCTTGGCGAAAGAGACAATTACCAGCGCGGTAAAGATCGGCGTAAAGGTAAGCTGGAGACTACTTACCACGGGGTGTAAGAGGCGGCGATGAAGACGTAGATGATGGCCCTGTCGCATCTGTGAAGAACTTCTTTCAGTAATCTGTAAACGAAGGCAAAGCGGTGTCACGCCAATTCCCGGCAAGCGTACCCGTCGCGAACTAAAAACAGTCTACCCCTCCCGACGGGCACCGAGGGCAATTCTTCTTTTTGTCGCTCGATTCCTGCTTTCCGCCCGGCCACTAAAGCCTGGTACTGATATGCGGAAATGGTAAGATAAAAGTTGCCATTCTGTCTTTCCAGTCGCATGTTCTCACTTACCGTACCAAGGTCTATAAACACAAGGTCATAACACCAATGTTCCCTACGGAGCCGCCATATTGGGTCCTTAGTTCCAAGGTCACCATATAGATTTCATAACTGTTATTTCAGAAAATGCAATATGTCACATTAAAATACAGTATAGGTAGCAAATGGAATTATTTGTATTAAAATATAATGTTATAAAAGCAATAATAATTATAAAATACGCAATAACATTCAGTTGAATTTTTCTTATTGAATACGGTATATTCAAGCAATCTGTATGGCTGTTGTTAATGCTAAAGGAAAACACCAACTACAAAAGAAAAATAATTTTCTGTAGTCTTCTAAGCAAGTAATCATTTATTATTGTATTATAAATCTCACACAGCGGAAATCTTCACAATAATAAATAAATAATAATAGTAATTTAACTAATATAAAAATAAGANAATGCTAAAGGAAAACACCAACTACAAAAGAAAAATAATTTTCTGTAGTCTTCTAAGCAAGTAATCATTTATTATTGTATTATAAATCTCACACAGCGGAAATCTTCACAATAATAAATAAATAATAATAGTAATTTAACTAATATAAAAATAAGAATGTTTTTAAAAAGAATTGATTAGTGAATATTTCATATAATATTAATACGTGGTTCCTGTAATAAATTTTTTTATAAATCTAAAAAAGCAGCAATGTTTACTGTCCTAAAAACATTTGTTTAACTCTTAAAGTCATCACTCTCATGGATCTGTTTGTGGGAAAACGGAACAATCTTACACCTTTGCCTGAATAATTTTTACAATTCGGCGCCGTAATACCATTATAAAAAAATAGATAATGACAAATTCAATTAATTGAAATGGAAAAAAGCAAATAACCAAATTTGCATTAGAAACACCGTACACAACTCAAAAGACCCAATATGGCGACTGCCGCCATGTATTACTGTATCGTGTCCCGACCTTGTGTTTATAGACGATTACGCCATTCCGAACACTTTACGCAGTAATTACATCTTTTTGAGCTTAATATTTAAATCGTATAGCGATATAGTGTATAAACGAAATATATTAGAGAGTTATACTGTATAGAATCTATACAGTATAACGCTCTAATATATTTCGTTTATAAAAAGCTTTATCTATACTATAGATAAAGCTTTTTAGCCTTACCCACTACCATAGTTCGAATGCTTTTTTTCAACTATTTTTTTATTTGATATTTCAAATACTTTTTCATGTGTATATTGTATTTATAAAAGTATTTGGTTCCAAACCCTCAGAAAGATACGAGAACGATAAGACATGTACGAGTCGTAGTTAGGTCTTGAGACATCATCTCTTTATTTTCTAAGTATTTCACTTGGTTTTAATTCTTGATTTTCAAAGTATATAGCAGGTTTAATGATTAAAAATTTTATTTTTTAAAGAAATTTTAACTAATTAATTGACCCTGCTTCGCATATGCTTTGCAGGTAGTTAAGATTACATAGTCGCGGTCGTAGCCGCAATACATTAATACCCGACAATTCTATTTTTTACATTAATTATATTTTTGTTGAGTANGAAATATGAATTTATTTTGATATTTTTAAGTACAGTACTCGATTAACTGTTTCAGCAAAGTCAATTCCATGGAAACGTTTATTTTCTAAAGCTGGTAGTGTTGTGACAAAAAAAAATGTTGCAATATAAAGCCAAAAAATTTGGAAGAATTCATTATTTTCCAATTTCAGTTCTTTTCAATGTTTACATGTTGATGGTATTAGCCAGGTTGAGGCAGAAGTTTTCATCTCGAAAACGTGAACGTCGAACGTCGAGTGCCGCTATCTTGTAATCGGTGCTCGACGTTCGACGTTCACGTTTCCTCACTATTAGTTTGGATTTTGATCTTATTCTGTAACTTGATGTTTATACTTGTGTTTTATCTCCCTGAGTACATTAATAATTATTAATAATAAAGAACAAAATGTCATGAAAAAGTGTAATTTTGGCCGAAACATTTATACTAATTGAGATTTACTCCATCTATAAGTATACAATAATGTGTTCACAGTTAATAGATATAACATCGATGATTCAAACAAATCGATTATGGCCATCGCAGGACACTCGCCACGACAAAAGTTAAAAATTTTCGACTTTGTATACCGTCGGCTTGGATGACAAAAGTGGCATCATTTTGCTGTTCTGTCGTCCTTTTCCGCGTGTGAGTACCAGGCTTTAAAGAGGAATTAACATTTTGAATCGAATAGTTCTCCGTTCTGGAATTCCGGTATTCCTGTGGCATATTGAAAACGAGCGTAAGGTTGTAACCGTTGTGGAGAACCGGGTTCTCGGATACTCGTTCGATTCGCCCGATAACTTTTTCGTCGGCAACCGGAAAAGTTCGGCCCGTCTCTCCCGCCGGTGGCTGAAACCACTCGACACCTGTATTCGGCGGCGAGGAGTCCTTAGCGACGTCGCGCACCCCAATAAGGGCGGGAAGTTCGTCTTGGAACTTCATAAGGAGATTCAAAATCGTAAATGAGAAACGGAGGTTCTCCGGCCTAATTATATAAGATATAATCTATATGTAAATTTTATTATTTATCGTCAAATGGGTTACTAAACATGAAGAAGGAAATGTCGGAATAGAGACGAAATGTAAACACTTTAAACGAAATTGTAATACATTATGTGGCAAATTGGGGGCTCGACGACGACTAGGCGTCAATTCAAACGTAATCGAAAATTGGCGTAGTATTCTCGTTGTCCCGTGACAATTCTATTATTTTTCCTAAGGTTTGGCATCTTCTCGGACTACCGCGAGAAAGCCATTATTACTGCAATTACCAAATCGGATCGGCAGAATAAATTTCGTTTCATCGTTCCCAGGCCAACAAAGAGCAGTCCTCGAGACTAATATCCGAAAGAATAATTTGGCATCTGGGGTATTAAGATCTTCTTCATCCTACCCGATTCGGCTTCGGAAAGTAAACATTTACGATTGATGTAATAGAGTACAAAGAAGACCGAATATTGTCGATAATCGGCAATATTCGGTCTTCTTTCTTCCTGCATATATTTTCTTGGCATTAGCATGTATATAACCTGTGATGGTAAGATTCTACAACGACTAAAAGCATGTAATTTTGTCCTGATAATGTTTTTTGGCTTGTTGGGACTAAGAAGCAGAAGTGTACTTTTCATCGTGATAATTTCTCTTTTCAGCGCCTTACTATGACGAGCCGCCCAAGGAACTCGGAATGTGTTCCCACTTTCTGGAACTTTGCTCTTGATCGATTATTACTTGTTAGGGAAAGACTGGCTGTGTCCACGTAACCTTTTATGCTGAAGGCCTACTCTTTCTGGTTGTTGACCACTCCAGAGCTGACGTATAAAGCAATTAACATCCTTAAAAAATAGAAAGATGAAGAAAGCTGTTTAAGATATCCTGCAATCCTAATAAGACAAAAGGTATAATCTTTACTAACCATAATAGCCAAATCTGTACAAGAACACATCTAATATAAAGCTCGCAGGTCACAGTTTAAGTCTTACCGTAAGACCGAGCTCTCATGAGCCTCCCACATCTCTAACACTAGCCAGATCGTCTTCATTTTTAACTTCTTGTCTATTGCTGCCAAGAACATTTGATGTCTTTTCAGGGATGATCTGTTATTCACCTTATCATCACATATGAAAATAAGTTATTAGATTGGAAATATCGCTCGCTTCCAGTCCGTGACAATCGTATTCGCATTATCATCACAATTTAATCAAAACTCAGATATTAACATTTTTACTGATGGCTCCAAACTTGATAGTAGTTCATGATATACCCTTGTAGTAATTTTTGTTGGGTAGGAATGTTAGGTTTCTAAATTTTGCCTCCACAAGGCAGTCATTTTGAAAAGGAAATTTAGAGTAGAATTAAGTAGTTCGATGAAAGATATACAAATACGAACATGACTGTCTTCACCGACAGTACTACTGGCCTCGACACAGTTAAGGGTTCTAACTGCCTAACTGTATTGCTACAAAAATTTCCAATGTATGGCTCTAAAAATTAACAATTATTCTCTAAATTGAATTTACCTGCCATTGAGTCAAGGGCAGATGAAGTAGCTATGATTGCAGCATAACTACCTTGACATCAGTTAACATACCAGGCCTATCTCCACTATGAAATATATTCTCTAGGATGAAAACACTTGGCAGAACAGTTGGAACATTAACGACTGAGCACTTAGCCATTATTTGTTTCCTAACATCAAGTATCTTTTCAACAATATCTTCATCATAATCTGCAATTACGCAAAACAGTTTTACAACAAGCACGGAAACTTTAAACTCTTATAGCCATAGATTCAAGTCTCCAACCAGTGTCAGGTCCGTAATGTCCCCGAAGACAGTCTTCACTAACGGTTTGACCGCCTCTCACTGGACGATATCAGCTTTGTTTTAGAGAACGTTGCCAGAAGACGTGGTTCGGCATTGTAAACTGTAACCATTTTGTCAAGAAGAAGGGTGGAAAAGTCTGCCTACAGCTTTTTTCTACTTTTCCGACTGTTACATATAAGAGAGGGAAAGGTATAGCGATCGGTCAGAAATGACCCTGTCCGCAAGTTTTTTAAGATTTTGGACTCGGAATCTTAAAACTTTGGGAGATGCAAAAATTGGGGTTTTATGAATGTATGGATTTTTGTGTTTGCATCCTAAAAATTAATCTTTTTGCTATTTTTAATAGTTAATAACATGGGCGTAGCGAGGGGGAGGCTGGATGGGCACGGCCCCTCCCAGGGAACCTGGTGCCCCCCAGGAAATCACAGCCGAAAAAGTGTTGAGTCGATTTGTAAACACCTAAAGCTAAAATAAAAGTTTTGAATACTAAAAAAAAAGGTGAACGGCTTGCTCGGTGCCCAATAATGAACAATAATTTGAAATAATTCAATTTTGTGTCAGGTTGGCCTCCACTAGGCCCCTCCCATAACAAAACTCTGGCTACGCCCATGGTTAATAATAATACTTTTTAAAATAAAATCGCGCAGTAGATGGAGCAACACACAATTTATTTATTAACAGTATGATTAATAATATAAAAGTTATTTTTTAAATAGAATCTCTTAACAGCCGGGAAAGTTACGCAACTCGATGCTTGATGTTTTTTCTTTTTCTTTGCGTTTATATTCGGGAGGACTGGAAAAAAAGCCGTAAGCTACTGGTCTCTGGCCTTTATAGGATTTGTATATTTTAGGATAGTACACACGTATTGAAAAATATTTAGAATAAAAACCGAAGCGGAATTGTAAACGATTTGTTTTCCGGAGTAACAGTATTTTGGGTAGGCCTAACTGCGAACTTAACAAAGGCTCAATAGCGGCTAACCCGGAATATCCGTATTTGTTTTCGACTCGTGTAAGCAAGTATCCAGTCGCATTACAGCGGACTCCTAACCGTCGAAACTCAACGGGGATCGACGTCTATGGGAAACGGGAGACACGCCAACTTCCGGCTGGAATTGAAACACCGGTCAACCGGGGAGAGAAGTCTTTCCATGCGGTGGATGGTACCATTTCCGGTCCGGCATCCGCGGGAGAGCGAGAAAAGGGCTCTGGGGCCGCAAAGGGAAGGCGCGCCACTCCGTCTTTACGAAACCCGGGGGTTCGGGCCGGGCTCTTTCTCCCATGCCGTCCCGAACGGAAGTGCCGAGGCATGTCGGCAGCGAAAGGGCCCGTTTTCCGAAGATCGTTCCTCCCCGGGCGGAACCCGAGGAGGGCGGAGCGAGGGAGATAGAAAGAAATCTTACCTGAATCTTCCCAAGTAGAAGACGGAGTGGAAGAAAGTGGAAATAGAAAAGAGGGCGACCATGGACAGGCCGTAGATCAGACAGGTCAGATACTGACTCTTGCCGCTAGACTGCTGAAGGAGGAATACCAGGCCCAGCAGGCTGGGAAGCACGGATAGCTGCGGGTTCCAACACAAATCCCATTAGAAGCCGCCATCTGGCCGGATAACCGAAAAAATTTTTTTCTCCGTCCGAATCCGTTCCCGTCGTTACCTTACGCGGAAGGAGGCGCCGGGCAGAGAAGAGGGAAAAGAAGGCGTAAATCGCGTCAAGTTCCGGGCACCGACCACCCCAACCGACCCGTAAACGGAAGTGATTTTCGTCCCCTCGGCCATAACACGTCTAAATACCTCCCATCGGAGAGAACGTAGGCCGCTTTCCGGCATCGGGGTGGCCCTCCTGGAAGGACTTTCCGCCGGAAATCCATCTCCGTTTAGGCGGCGTTAGAGACCCGAAAATTCCACCTCGGTGGGCGGCACGAGGCCTAGGCCAGTCTTTTTACCTGCGGACAAACAGGGGAGACCGGAAAAGACCCGGCCTAGCGGGCACTCCATCAGTAGGTAGAAATGACTCGGGCGGAGGAAAAGTCGGGAAAGGGGTATTTAAATGCCGATGGAAGAGGCGGAAAGGAAGATTTTCCGCTGAGACAGAGTGTGGGCGTGGGGTTGCCACAAAACCGTTGTTCGGCACGATGATTCCCCATCCCTCGAAGGCGGGGAGCCGGAGCACCCCGTAGAGAAGCCAATATCAAAAATATCGAAATTACACGAAAACAATTAAACTTCGATAAGTCAATTATTGAGGAAATGCATGGGAACGAAACTATTAAAATATGTTTAAATAAAATACAAAAGTAAGTTTGACAAGAAAATTTCCAGCCTAAAATCTTTTATTTGTTACAGGACAATATGCTTGCATTTCTTTCCGGCAAAAGAAGTAGCTTGGAATCTGGCAGACATAGGTAAAGCCCGTCACTTTTACCTTTTTTATCCAAGGTCTTTAAGGTGACTCGGTGGAAGATGGTTAGGACATCAAAGTTCGTGAGTTTTTCTACATATGGCTTCACTACCGTATTCACAACACTGCGCGCATCAAAGTCTTCTTGTATATTTACTTGCAGCATTTTTCAATTTATAACGATTCAAAAATTTGTAGGTAGGAAATTAACTTCTGAAATTATTGCACGCTTATTCTAGAATGCTTTTTATCGGCGAAAACCTAAAACAATCGGTAATGTTTTTGGAAATAATGAAAATAGGACATTTGTTAAATGTATCTTCTTACCCGTGTTCGTGTTATCCAGTGAAAGTCTGGTTTTGTCCTGAAATAAATTTGATGATGTAAAAGATTATTTATCTGTATAACTATAAACTGAGTAATCAATCATCTTTCTAGTGTACAAATAACATTTCTACTATAGTTTAGTAGGGAGAACTTCAAGGAGAAACTTGGAAAGCCCGACTCAAAGTGAGCAATACTGGGTTCGATAAATGCGAAGACGACAGCGTGCAGACACCGGGAACTTCCGGTTCTAATATCCCGTCTTTGCCTTCCATGGATGAACCGGATCCTTCAGAATATCGTTTGTCTTCAACGACCAATCATCTGGACCATTACTACCTAAACCTCATTTTCCCTCTGCCACACACCAGGATCATCAGCAAATTCATGGGGAGTCTCGACTTCTGCAAGTTTCGAGGAATTGCGCCCAATATCATTCACGAGCGCTGGAAAACATCCAAGAAAACAACATTCGTAATAGCTGGCGGAATATAGAAACCGAAAACAAACACAAAAAGAAAATCTGAATAAGAAAAAAAGGAAAAGCCAGAACAATAAACTTCTCGGAAGAGAAGAAAGAAACGAGCCCCACAAAGAGAGTAAAGTAGTAGCCAAGATACACCGGCCTCTTTCAACAATGTCAATTACTGTTGCATCTATCGTAGCTACTGATACGCTAAACGTGGCAAATCATGCAACCGAACAGAATTCGTAAGGTGCAAAAAGTGGATGCAGAAGACCTACACTAAGTTCGAACCCGGTGACGACAGTACAACAGACGGAGGTTATCCAGACGAGTCTTCCGAGTTGTAGAATAATAAGTTAATTCAATCCTTTATGTTTTTGATACAAATAAGTTACAGTACAATACAGTATACATATTTGTATTCTATTGTAATTTTTAAAAAAGCTGTGTATAATCATCTTTTCCCATTGACGGTCCATCTTCCTCCATATTCGCGCACATATATTTGAATATGTTTTCTCTAATGGATTAACGTAATAGACGAGAACCATATCCATCTTCAAAACACCAAAGGTCCAAGGTATCTTATACGCCTGGTCACGGTTTGTAAACTATAAATCCGAAAGAGATACTCACAGGCAAACAAAAGTGTAACCATCTTCCCTCGAGTTACCGTACAATTAAAATATGGGCCTAAAGCGCAATGGCTGCGTAATAATCTAGGTCTATATGGTAATGGGCCGTCCATAAATTACGTAAGGTATTTTGGGGTGGGTGGGGGTAAAGGATTTCTTACGATTTCTTACTCAGGGGTAGAGGGGTAATAGATCTCGTCTTACTTAATATTCTTATTTTTATTTTTTGATCTCGTTGAGTGATGGGATTTAATAGAGCTTTTAGGACAAACTGAGAATCACTGTAAATGTTAATAGACAGAGTTTTGTTTGGTAGTGAAGTGGCCCACTGAACAGCTTGGTAGTCAGCATCTTCTTCAGCTTGATAGATGGATGTATATGGGAGGTATCTGTACCTTCTGACATATTTTTGGCAAAATATGTAAGTTTGGAGGAAGATAGAGATACTTTGAGCCGACAAGAAGGGAGCTTTTGGACCCATCTGTGTAGATATTGATGCCTGCAAGATTATCTATGGAGGAAGCAGATGACATCAAATAACCTTGTTTACAGGATGATGATCAGAGATCGTAGGGTAATTGCAATGTGGTAGCATACGAAGAGCCGTAGATAGGTGTAGAGACCGTTATTGAGCCTTGACGTTTGTAGTTCTGATGTAGTAGTTTAGTACCTTTCTATCAATACAATACATAGTGGCAAAGGTAGGAGCTGTACTATTATCAGAGAAGCGTTAGTAAAAACAGTTTTGCAGTACTTTGAAATTCTGATGGCAAACTGGCTTTGAAGAGAGAGTAATTTACTTGCTACTGAATTTTTACTAGTTACATGATCACAGCCAGAGGCCGCGTAAAGTGGCATTTGTTGTATTGCCCCATTATACAGAGTTTTATAAGCTTTATTATTTAGTCCTCAGGTGCACCTAGCACATTTTAGCAGCATGTAGTTTATTTTATTTTATTTTATTTTATTTTTTTTTTGGCCTTAGACAAGATGTAATCAATATGGCAACGGAATGTGGTTTCTCTTTATTCGCTGTCGTTTTATTTTGTATGACTTTTCTGTTTACACGTGCACTAGCTAGTCGATCTGGCAAAGTTTTTTTGCGTCTTTTGTGAAAATTAAAATTAATATAAAAATAAATAATAATAATATTGTTAATAATTAAAAAATAAAGTTCTTAAAATAAATTTTTCATTCGAATTTATTAAATTCTTATATTTTTAAATTTGATCACCTAAAGTATCTTTATAAATAATAATACATACAGTATTAATTAACTAATTCATAATTATATATTTTGGACCTAAGGTTTTTAGGGTTTATAAAAAAATTTTTGGTTAAAATCTTTCTATAAAATCATGCCAAAATATTACGTAAGATAGAGAAGAAGAGGAGGGGGGATGAAAGAAAATGTTACTGTTTCTTACACAGGAGTGGGTGGGGGGTCTAGAATGGCCGAAATCGCCCTTACGTAATTTATGGACGGCCCCTAATGGGCAAAATGCTTTTCTGACAATCAATAGAAAAAGTTAAAATGAAGGGAAATGCAAGTTAAGAAAAAGTATTAAACAAATAGAAATTTAAGACGATCAAACTGGAGATTGCACTCCGAACACACAAGACGATCTTTCGTATTTTTCTTAGACTCGATATTCTCAAGTTCGATGACAATTATAACGTTTCTTTATCCGAGGGGAGGGACGATTCCCGACCCGACCCGGCGGAAATCGGTAGGTCGACCAGCCACAGAAAGGAAAGAGGGAAGGCCCGCCGGCGGCAGCCAGACGTCCAAAAAAAAGTTTCCAAACGGGCCACCATCCTGGGTGAGGGTCAAACTTTGGTAGAATCCGAGTACACGCCTACTTTCGTCGCGGTTCCAGGGAAAATTGTTGCCATAAAGAAGTTCGGTAAAATATCGGACCGTAGAAAGGGTGAGGTGGTGGGCGAAAATATATATACTTTTCGTTTACGACGCAGAAAATGGACGGACGGTGAAAAATTTGGCCCAGTTATAATTTCCTTAAATAATAATTGGAAACGAAAGCCACTCGTCCGTAAAAACGAATTTATTCTCGGCTGGAACCGGGTCTGGTACACAGGCGGATTTAATGGCATTTCTAGACTAGATCTCATCAACCCGTAAACCCGTCTAACGCAAAAAAGGAAGACTTTTCGGCTACCCACCACCTAACTCCACCTGCATAAAGCGGCTCGGAAAGGTTCCGCTCTTTCTGCATGCGGGCCGTCCGTTATTTACCCGTAAGATTTAGAGAAAAGGTGCAGTACAAAGGTGCGCCGTGTATTTTCCTCTACCCGGGGAGGGAGGGAGGGAGGGAGTCCGCCAATTGTCTACTCGAACTTTTCTGCTACGGCTTTTTCGGTAGTATTAGTAACATACAATTTCTTCCCATGTTATTTTATCGGATGGCACGGATAAACTGTCGTGTAGAAAACGTCGGCAAGACTTTTGTCATTCCTCCCCCTTCCGGAGTCCGCCGGAAAGGGGAGACGGCCCCTAAGTAAAAGCCCATCCGACTACCGATATAACGACAAACTCTTTTGTGAAACTATTTGGAACCGTGGCGGAGAAACGGTTAATAATTTTAAATTATTAAACATTGTGTTATTAAGAGACGAGTTTTATTTTTAAAAAAGCTTAATAACCAGTAAAATCTTCATTATCTCCGATTTCACTGGAGATATGACACGTGATCCTCTATCTCTCCACCCACCAAAACTTCGTAGCATCGATCCCCTAATACAAAAACCCCCTTGAAATATATCAAAAAAATTTGACGAAAGGTACGGGAGTTATCAAGCTTCAAAGTGACCGAACAAAATCGTATCCCCCCACACATTAATATCCATACATACAGATAAAACTCCTCAATTGTTTTTGCATTTTTCGACGTTTCGAGGTCTCCGAATCCAAATGGGAAAGGTCATTTTTGATCGATGGCCGTCGTACCTTTCCTCTGTTATATATAACAGCCGAGAAAGTAACCAGACGTAATCATTGATAATTTGTCGATGACTGCACGAAACCATCGATAATTTTGAAGCCACGGCCCAGGATTACACGGGCTGGGCATGTGGAAACAGGTGTCGGTACATCTACACGTCTATAATTCTTATTTGACTGACTGGTTTTAAGACAAATCGGAATATTTTCGGTTACAATCGCAAACAATCGGTTAAATGATGAAATATCGAAGGTTGTCGATTAACGATTACCCATTAAAAGAGACTAAAGACACCCATTAAGAGAGAGACGGAAGTAGACACCATCACTCTTTTAATGGGTGGATCTATTCGAGTCTACAACAACATTTTTAATAACAAAATATCGGTTTAATTGCCGTATACTTTCACGAATTAAACACTGAAATATAGTACCAAATATGCGAAACTCTAGCCTATTTATCGTATTACACCTCTAATAGGAGGTTATCCGCTCCAGGAAAACTCGGAAGACTTCACCGACCAGCCTGTAGGCCCAAACGCCAACCCGAGCACACTACTACCTGTGTTCGGGGATCGAATCCGTTTAGCCACTGGTACAGTATGGGTGTTGGGTGGAGAAAGACACACAGGTGGCGGCATTCTGTACCGCTCCGATGTTTTAGGAAAATAAAGAATGCAAATAACTCGTATAAACGTCGTAGTAGCTCGGAATATACACGTAAAGACGAGACCTGTATAGAGACACCCTTGCATTTGAGCACGTGCCCACTGTTCTTCTGCGTTGCCCACTTTCAAATACCTAAGGCGATCCAAATTCCATTATCGACAAACAACAGGAAATTCGCGACTTTTTAGCCTTATTCTGAAAATATAAACTGTCCGAAATGTATATTTAATAAACTAGAATAGCCAAAAGACGAGGTCTCTCGGTGTCCAAGCGAATACGTTTCCAAAAAGTGTAACAAGTCCTCAGAATAGAAGCCGATACGGTGTCGGATAGACCAAAGCTTAGAGGTAGGACACCCCGATATAAGTGAAGAGATTTCCATCGGAGAATTCTCCCCGACGGGGTTAAGTACAGGGGGCAAGACACTACTAATTTGAGGTGGAGAGCACATAGTATATTAAAGGGCATAAATTTAAAATAGGATTTAAAAACTACCGCCCGCGCGACGATAAAGAATTGCCGGTAATTTATTCCGTTTTCTTTTCTTTTTCAGTGGTTATAGGAGGTGGGTAAAAACGTGCCATCCACCGGGCCGAGGTTTCGGATGTGTCGGCGCCGAGTCCCGCCTCCTCCCCTGTTACCCCGCCTTCCCGGGTGTGGTAAATTGGTCCGCTCTCCTCCCGCCGAAGGTGGACGCGGTGGCAAAGAAAAGAGTGGATACTTACTCCGTGGGTGACGACGTTAGCCAGGTGTTCCACTTCGGTCGGCACGTAGGCCTGGTTCCCCACCGCTCGGCGATTCATGTACCTGCCAACGACCAAACCGGGTTAGCCCCGCCCCACTGGTGGCGCGCCCTCCTCCCGTCGCGCCGGTGGACCGCCGTCCCTTCCTCCCACCCCGCAAATGCCTACGACGCGTGGTGTTTCCGGTAAGTAATCCGGCCGGACGACACTGTCTTTTCTTTGTTTTTTGTCATAAAAATATAGAAATTCGTCTGCGGACACGCGCTCAATTTACGGGTGGGATGTTCCCCGCCAGAAAAGGAAATTTTAATGTTTTTTCATCACCTAAAACTTTAACCAATACCGTAAAAATTGTAAAGGAGTACGACCTTAACAATACGTAAACCGAAACAGAGAATAACAATACGTAAACACTTGAAAATGTATTAAAATTAAGGGTAGACGAACGTAGCTTTACTTGCCGAATACCTTGCCTGAACGACGACAAATTGCTCGTACGTCAAGACAAAAATACAAGATAATAGAGAGATTACCGGGCTAAATAAGGGGCATTCGCATACTCCCGTGCAAATCTGCTTAATTACTTTTCAATACCCATCGTTACTCTTAAATACGTAATCATTTACGGTCCCGTTCGGTCATTCTTCGACGTACAGAAATTTTAACCTTTCGTCCGGTCGGATTCTTAATACGAAACACCGCGCCACGTCTTCTCTCCGTTAACCCAGACCACCCCGCTTACGGATTTCGTCCTTTACTTCTTAAACACGGCCCGGATTTACCTGGGCCGTTTCCCTCTTTCTTTCCGGTTGGGGGAAACATTCCACCGTCCGTCGTCCCGGATTCCGGCCCCCATTTCTTTCAGGCGCGTCGGACTTATCTGTCTTTCGTCGGGCAGTTCTCAAGAATCACCCCTCTCTCCGGACGGAAGCCGCCGGGAATTCGGTCTTCTCCGTCCGACCTCGTAAGCCGGACGGGAAAGACAACTTCTTACCGCGGGAAAAGGGGATTGTCTCCTTCGTCCAGCGGAGGACACTTCGGAAAACGGTCGACGAGCGGTCGCCTTTTTCTTTCCTCGGAAGGGGGAAAGAGGCGCGGGCATCCCCCGCCTCTTTCCCGGTCAGAAAGTTGTCCGGGGACGAGCGGACGGCCGCCTCCCATACCCCGTCTTTACGGCGCGTGGAAATATCGACCCGCGCGCCGGCTTTCTTCCTCCCGGGCGCGCGTCCGCCGCCGTCCTGGATTCGGACGACGCGCGGTTCCTCGTTAACCTCTTTTTTTCGTCGGTGTCGGTCCCGGCGGTTTTCCCACCGGGGGAGGGTGTGCCAGCGCGGCGCGGACGGGAAGAGGAGGAGGAGGAGAAAGAGGACTCACCTGTTCTTGGAGGAGGGGTCGGAGACGGCCCCCTCCATGCTACCGGCGTTGGTCGACGCTGGTCCGGACCCTTTCGGGACGCGTCGCGACGTTTTCGGACGGGAGGTCACCGTCCACCCGCATCACGGGATCCGCCGACCGCCCTCCGGCGGGGAAGCCATTTTGCCTCGGCCGCCGTCCGTTCCGGCCGATCGATGGCGGCGACGGAGGCGCCGCCCGCTCCCTCCGCTCCGCACCGCCGTCGGGAGACGCGCCGTCGTTCTCTCCGCCGTTGTCTATCCCCATCCTCCTCCTCCTCCTCCTCCTCCTCCTCTTCTTCTCCGGAAGGACGCCGGGGAGGAGAGCGGGCTTCCGGAGAAGAAGAGGAAGAGGAGGAAGAGAAAGAAAATGGAGCGACGAGAACCCGGGGAGGGTGCACCGCGCGTTTAAAGTAGGTTCGCGTGGGGACGGATAATAATCGAGAGGTGGGCCAAACAATTTAACCTAGTTACAAGGCGGCATTCGATGGAATTAATGGAAGAAAAAAAATTTATTTCCCTCAGCGTGACTCAGTGATTTACTTTTCTACCCGAACTTTTTCTACTCTTACAGTAATAAATACAATTGTTTGTGCGCGGCGCCACTTTTCCACCGCCCAAAAAACAATGCCGCAGGTGGAAGAAAAGAAGTCGGCGGCTGCGGTTAGAAGCCACTCGAGAACAATACCGAAGGACGAAAATGGCCTTACTTCGAGGAAATAAGAAAACGGCGGACTTCGGAAAAAGTCGATCAACCCCCGGGTGAGGCCGATGCGATTTTCCGGACGGAGGTTAGGCTAGAGAATTTATTAGGGCCTTTACTAACTTATCCGTAACGGCTACACGTAGCGCGGTTTGACCCGTCCATTGCTTCATTTTAGGGTATTTTTGGAACGAAAGAGGAAAAATCGTCCCGAGTCTTACGTAAGAAGTCTGTACATTACCGTTCTTTGTCCGAGTAACCGTAACCCAGCTTTCTGGGTGGCAGCTTACCGCCGCTCTGGGCATCCGGCATCGTTTAGTGTCGAGTTTTCTAATAACGGGCTTTGTTCTACGTATTTTCGCCCACTCCCGGTGGCCCAGTGGATAAAACTGCCGATCTCCGTTAGTCCGTGGTGAATGGGAGGTTTACGGGTTTTCTTGGTGTTAGTAATGCCTAAATAGGTGTCGATTTCCCTCGAAAGATCTCCCGGGAGGCACGGACGATGGCACTGGCCTTAGCCGAATAAACCAAACCCAACTGTTTTCGCCTTAAACTGTTATACTGAATTCATATAACACGGAATTATCTACAGTGTTATAGGGGGGAGTCTACTGTACGCATTGTTTCTGGTTTTCCAAATCGCTTCGAATGTTGTTATTAGGATCTCATAATTTATTTATTTGTTTTGCACGTTATTAAAGCCATTCCAGTTCCTTTACTTTTCCATAACCCTGAATTTTTTTCAAGAATTTCCATAATTTTTTATGGGTACATTGGAGGAAGGTGTGCTATAGAGATTCCCTGATTCGGCATACGGGACAGTTATCTGTATAAATTAATACAAGTCACCCCCTATAACACTGTTGATTTTTCTGTTTTATACGAATTCCATGTTGTACGAGTCACTTACATTTTACAAATACGTGTGCCGGACTGTGAGCGGTTCACGTATTTGTAAAATCTAAGTGACTCGTACAACATGGAATTCATATAAAACGGAAAAATCAACAGTGTTATAGGGGTGTTTTCCCAAAGCATTTATAGGAAGGCAGTTATAATGGAGCCCTCCGGACGATTGTTTTGGCATTGTTGCTATCCTGTTTCGGGGTTTTAGAATGTAAAATCGTTTTCTGCAACAAATTTCGCATGCAGTAATTGATAATAAAACTATTGTATCCGAACAAACTTTTCTTGTAAACAAACGTTACCGTAAGTTGTCACGACAGATTTCGTGCCAGAAATTTTTATTTAAGTTTAGCTCGTTACCGATTAGAAGTAACTTTATGCTATCGGAATCGCTTACGGCTAGTGTGTGTGGTTAAGGTCTGGTAAGTCGTAAGTTGTCGCAACACTTTTTATTCCATGTAACTCGCTAACAATAGCTACCAGCGTTTTATGTAATGAACCAAAATGTAACCTTTTTTGCCGTAAACCAGCCGCCATATTTGATTCCTCTTTCGTATTGTTACCAGACGTAATATTCCGTACGTAGATCCAAATACGAAACGGCCCGGTAGTATCCGGAGTGGGCCAACGATCGAAGAAAGAAAGTAGCGGATCACTTGTGTTTTGCAACACGCGACCCCCTCCGAACGGAGTTGCTACAATTGACACTCCTACGGTTTCCTCTGCCTTCTTTTTAATGGTTTCTTCCGTGTCTTCGTTTTGCGAACTTCATACATTTTCATTTAATCTCCCTTACGTAGGTGTCTTTTTGTTTACTTAATCTCTTGCAGTCTTTTTAATCTCTTATCGTAATAATTCATTCCCCAATAATCAAAAACGTCCGTATTAAAAATAATACCGGTATGGCTTATAATTTAATTTCCGTCTGCCTGCTCGACACCGTAAACAAAAGAACATATTAACCATTATATAGCCGACTCCCGCCGACTCTATGGCGTGGAGTACTGTACAGTATCTAGATTATCGGAGTATCGACAATGGGTTGTCAAATTTTCTATTGTTTAGTTGTATGACGTAGTTAAAATCCGCCATGTTCTGTCAGAAAGTGCGCGTGGTTCTGTATATTTCGAACGGTAATACATCCTGTACAATAACAATACAAAAACACACTAGTACTTTGGATCTTATATAAAAGGTAGCATTTATTTGGTAATATGTAATTATTTAAAATATCATTTGTAAAGCTAATACAATGTATTACATCAGTAGGATCCTAAGAAAGTCCTTTATTAGAATATAGGGGGTGCATAGTTTTTTACAGTATAAAGGCGGGACGTTAAATAAAAATACAAAAAAAATTATATTCTTTATATTCTTGAATAAAAAAAACCGAATAAAATGCTTTATTAAACTGAAATAATCGTAATTTATTAATGTAAACCCATAGTCCACGCGATGACGATCGACTGAACATGGCGGCGGTGACTCGTGTGTCTCTTCTACTCACCTCCCCCGGAAACGAGTCCGGACGGTATATAGTAAGCTCGTTGTTTAAAGTTGTAATTCGACCAAACATTTCTGCGTTTTATATATTTATTAAGGTTTTTTATTAACTCGAATGCTTGGCGTAAGTATACTTACCTCTGCCAGGTCTTATTCTAAGGTCTTTTTTCATACTGCACAAATACCTGTTTTATTTTGGCCAAGCCGATAAATCCTGGCGTTTATAAACTGTTCTAAAAGACATAAAAATAAGGACGATAACACAACACTTGTATCCGTATAATTATTTATTAATTTCGATCACCGTTCGATCTTAAAACTTTCTCCCTCACTTTTACCAAAAATTCCTTATTAGACTCTATCACGTTAATAAATTAATTACAAAATCGTTCTTTTGAGTCGTTTCTTTAAAAAAAAAATATTATTTCAATTTACAAAGCGGTGAGTCGATACAAAAGAATGGCGATTTTTATAGAAAAAAGAAACAATTCTGTATTTAGTTTGTTTATTATTTTGTCGTTGGAATGTCCGGCGCCCGGTCGACGAGGTGGTCCCTGGTTTTAATTTACCTATTTATAGGATTAATATAAATATATTAGAAGTTGGCAGGGTAAGTAGCTTACGTACACCTGGCAAATACGACCCGTAGTTGTGGTCTGACACTAGGCTGTCGGGCCGGACCCTCACAGTTTCCGTTGTCGGTTAATTTTTACGCGCCCTTTGCGTTTCCTTATAACTGAAGAGGCGATGAGCGGAAAGTAACGACGTATGGAAAAATGCTTACAATTTCTACATTTCTAGGGTCAAAATGACGAAAATTATTCCAAATCCACGCGGGCAAACAATGTCCTTCCGTCCTCCCTGCCATTTCCCGGGAAAGACGGCGCCGGGCCGCTCCTCCCACGACCGACCCTGGGTACTTTCGGCTTTCCACCGCCGTTTCCGGACGGGCGGCGGTAGGCCCGCTTTCGCACACAGTAGCGCGTGGCCCCGCCCGCCGGCCGCCCCCGCAGGAAATTCATCGACGTCCCCCTTTCCCAGTCCGGCGGAGGGAAGAACAAAGACCCTGGGCCCGTATGCCGGGACTCGTCCTTCCGTCCTCCGCCGCGGTGGGAAGAACAGGGAGATTCTTGCTGATGCCTCCGATAAACAATTGCGGAAAAAAGAAAGAGACGTAAGCGTGTTTTCGTGGCGTTGTTCTTTATTGGCCTGCGTTTTTTGTCGGGTCCCTCCTCCTCCGGCCGGGCCGTCCGAGGGAACCCGCGGTATTTACATTCCGCTCGGGGCGGTCTATGTACAGAAAATCACAGAAAGGTTACTGGCCCGGTCGACGCGGCCCTGGGGCCGGCCGACCTTTCAGTCGAAGCGACACTGGCCGGTACCCCGGACCAGCGCCTTCCTCCTCATCTTCTTCCAGTCGGAGTACCTGGGGGCGCAGGTGACCACCGGATAGCCCAGCAGCCAGCGTCCCACGAATAGGTACTGGCCGGCGCCTGCCCGAGTGCCGCACTTCAGGGGTCGATGCACCACGTAGTAGTCGGCCGCCGGATCCGTCTTCCTCCCTCGGCTCTTCTCCAGTCCCCCGGCCGCATCCCGCAGCACCCGAACGGCCCTGACGGTGATCTCGGTCCTGCGCAGACTGTGGTCGTGGTCCAGGGCGCTGACGGTCCCCCGCAGCACTAAGGGAGAAAAACAAACGTCATCCATGCTTTAGCTCCTGCTCCGCGAGGGAAGGAGACGGACTCACCCCAGTCGCCGGTGCAGTATCCGGTGGTCACCTCGGCCTCGGTGCAGGGACGACACTCTGAAAAAAGAAAAAAAAAAAAACATCCGTTAGCGGCCAGGGCTTATCTGTGGCGTGGCGGGTGGAATCCGACGGACGGGACCGGCGTCGGGCGAAAGATCGAGTTTCAGTGGACGAAAAATTTTGGAATCCGCCGAGTGTCATGGCCGACAACAAGAAATGATACGTTATGAGTTTTTTTCCTCGCAACAAGTTTTTTGTATACATGGTAATTTTTTCACTATTTTATCTATTTGTGTAACATTTATTTCAACCCTCAAGAATTTGTTGTTGCACTTAAATAACTTTTTCCCTTAAAAATAACATCTTTGTATTTATTTTATAATTTTGTTTTTTTATAACGTTATATGGACAAAACGACATACATAGACAACGGACATAATGACATACCTGTCATTTAGTCCATAAGAGCTTAGTCAAGGAACTTAC